AGACTCAGCCGGCTGTTGGTCCCGCCAGACAGTTTACTGGAGGCATCAAAGTCACAGAAGTCAATGGCTGATCTGAAACACACACACACACACACACACACACCCTCAGAGAGCTGTCGGGTAATCACATTGGGTGATGAAGCATCAATCATTACGACCAATCACACTTCACTGCCAGCTATTTTGTCCAAATCGATGACATTATTTTGTTTTTGTCTGTCTGGCTCAGCTGGTGATGTTTGTGACATCATTTTACTCTAACAGGAGGCTGTTTTGCATACTTGGACGCCCTTTAAGACGTGATAAAATTCTCTAATATTTGATTGTTTGAATAGTTATAATCCTGCTTTTATTCATCTGCTGCAAATTAAGCTCTGTGTGTGATCCCAGTTGCTGTCTCATATTCAAATGTGGCCTACCCATGGAAACCTATACCAGACACACACCTGTTGGTACTGTCCACGGCTTGTCTTGCATTCTGCTGCAGCAGCCTGCATAATATTGTGGGTGCTCAATCATGGCTGCAAGTCGCAGTTGCATCCGTGAGATGGAGCTGAGACATGCGCCTGCACACAGCCGGTGCACACATCTGCATAGATTACAGTGACTGCTAACTGTTGTGTGAGACGTAAGAGTGAAAAACCCGTCTGACACACCTGGCGGAGTCTAGTTGGCTGTGTATTCGCTCTGTTCTGTAAAAGTTCAAAGGAAAGGTGTGACATTTTGGGCAGTCCTCTTCTTCTCTTTCTTGCTGACAGTTTAATGAAGCCACAGACAGCAACCAGTTAGCCTAGCTTAGCATAATGTCTCGATCCAAAGGTAACAGTCCACCTAACATAAACATCGAACAAAAAGTTTTTGTAAAATTGTGAAATTGCCAATATGTCTTGTTTCTTCCTTGTTACTGATAGACTTCAATCATCCAATCCACCAAACAAGAGTCGATAGCAACAGCAGAATACGCTGTTTGGCATTGGCAGAGAAGATTTGGCAAATTTTTCATGGGCGCAACCCACATACTCGGCTGTGCTGCTCATCCCACAAATGAATGTTCCTTATAAATGGGGCACCATTTGAAAGGTAAATAAACAGGCTTTCCAACGGTATAAAATTCATTGCCAAGAAGCATTGTTACACCAGAGAAATAATCTACCAAACACTAATTTCCGAACTTTTTGTTCAATATTTATATTTAAAGCTCTTTCATTAAATATGCAAGATTTCTAATTACTGTTTTCAGATCATTTCATTGTTTCAGGTCGGTGTGTAGCGTGTCTGCACTGCTAGCAGGAAATAGTCAAATGTCTTGACATCTCCCATCCAAACAAAACTACTATCTGTATGATAAAGAATATCGAAGGTTGCTAGATTTGTTCAGACAGTAGACTTTGTGGATTCCTGCTGCATGTTGAGTTTGGAGAGAGTCACCACTGCAGTTTGATTTAGACCCGGCTGTGTGTGGGTTGATGTTAATTATTGTTTTGCATATCGATTTTACAGAATCTACTCCAATTCATTAGTCATTTTGGCTTCCGTCATGATACTAAATACATACGCGTTGATAGAATTTTGTCTAATCAAAGTTTTCTCCTTGACGTAGTCAGGTTCATATTTTGGAAGGATTATGAAGCATTAATTGTCTCTATTTGCACTTCGTTCCAACACACCTTGTTAGTGTGCCCTGTGGTCTTGTAACCTGTAAGGTTCAAACAGCAGCTTCAGTGTTTAGCCCTGAGCTGCAGCTGGTGACTCATCAACAGATAAGGATTCTCTCCCTCTCTGTCTCTGTCTGTCTCTCTCTTTGTCTGTCTCTCTTTGTCTGTCTCTCTCTTTGTCTGTCTGTCTCTCTCTTTGTCTGTCTGTCTCTCTCTTTGTCTGTCTGTCTCTCTCTTTGTCTGTCTGTCTCTCTCTTTGTCTGTCTGTCTCTCTCTTTGTCTGTCTGTCTCTCTCTTTGTCTGTCTGTCTCTCTCTTTGTCTGTCTGTCTCTCTCTTTGTCTGTCTGTCT